TTCTTCTTTTTTCTTTTTTTCTCATCTTGTTCAACTGTTGCCATGGCACCTGCAAAAGAGATGTTCAGATGTGCCAGTGCCTTTTGAAGTTATTCTTCATACTATAAAATAATATAAAATAATGCCACGGAATTATAAGTAAATCTTGTCTGCTAAATTAACTAGTGTAGCCCACAGCCATTTGGCATAGCCACATCAGGACCTAACATAAGGACAACTCAGATGCTATTCTGTTCTTCTGAAATAGACTACATTTTCTCATATTATGCTTCTTTAGACCTGTCTAAAATAAATAATGGGTTTATTGTGAAGGTGTAGGCTATATTAAATGGATTTCTTAGACTTTTTTAAATGGCTTGTAGGCTGTGTGTGGAAGCCAGGAGATGCTAAATGTGTTTATGTTCATTAACGGTCAATTAACTGTGAGACCGACAGTTATTTGCTTGACAATCAGTTACAGACAGTTATTCACCGGCTGAAGAAATGTTGTGACCGCCACAGCCCTAGAGACGATGCCAAATATTTTCAGCCTCCTTAGGGGAAGAAACATTGTCGTACCCACTTCACGACTGTGTGGACCATGATAGATCCTTAGTGATGTGGACACCGAGAAACTTGAAACTCTCGACCCGCTCCACTACAGCCCCGTCGATGTCAATAGGGGGGCGTGCTTGGCCCTCCGTTTCCTGTAGTCCACAATCATCTCCTTTTGTCTTGCTGACGTTGAGGGAGAGGTTGTTGGTCCTGGCACCATACTGCAAGGTCTCTGATCGTCGTCTCTGATCAGGCCACCTCTGGGTCGTTAGCAAACTTAAGGGGGCCCCTGAGGGTCAGCGTGGCAGATGTGTTGTTGCCTACCCTCACCACATGGGGGCGGCCTGTCAGAAAGTCCAGGTTCCAGTTGCAGAGGGAGGTGTTTAGTCCCAGGGTCCTTAGCTTAGTGATGAGCTTTGAGGGCACTATGGTGTTGAACGCTGAGCTGTAGTCAATGAACAGCATTCTTGCATAGGTATTCCTCTTGTCCAGGTGGGAAAGGGCAGTGTTGAGTGCAATAGAGATTGCGTCATCTCTAGATCTGTTGGGGCGGTATGCAAATTGGAGTGGGTCAAGGGTTTCCGGGATGATGGTGTTGACGTGAGCCATGACCAGCCTTTCAAAGCACTTCATGGCTACAGACTTGAGTGCTACGGGTCGGCAGTCATTTAGGCAGGTTATCTTAGTGTCCTTGGGCACAGGGACTATGGTGGTCTGCTTGAAACATGTACAGTTGAAGTCGGAAGTTTACATACAGTGGGGAAAACAATTATTTAGTCAGCCACCAATTGTGCAAGTTCTCCCACTTAAAAAGATGAGAGAGTCCTGTATTTTTCATCATAGGTACAGGTCAACTATGACAGACAAATTGAAAAAATCCAGAAAATCACATTGTAGGATTTTTTATGAATTTATTTGCAAATTATGGTGGAAAATAAGTATTTGGTCAATAACAAAAGTTTCTCAATACTTTGTTATATACCCTTTGTTGGCAATGACACAGGTCAAACGTTTTCTGTCTTCACAAGGTTTTCACACACTGTTGCTGGTATTTTGGCCCATTCCTCCATGCAGATCTCCTCTAGAGCAGTGATGTTTTGGGGCTGTCGCTGGGCAACACGGACTTTCAACTCCTTCCAAAGATTTTCTATGGGGTTGAGATCTGGAGACTGGCTAGGCCACTCCAGGACCTTGAAATGCTTTTTACGAAGCCACACCGCCCGTTGCCCGGGCGGTGTGTTTGGGATCATTGTCATGTTGAAAGACCCAGCCACGTTTCATCTTCAATGCCCTTGCTGATGGAAGGAGGTTTTCACTCAAAATCTCACGATACATGGCCCCATTCATTCTTTCCTTTACACGGATCAGTCGTCCTGGTCCCTTTGCAGAAAAACAGCCCCAAAGCATGATGTTTCCACCTCCATGCTTCACAGTAGGTATGGTGTTCTTTGGATGCAACTCAGCATTCTTTGTCCTCCAAACACGACGAGTTGAGTTTTTACCAAAAAGTTCTATTTTGGTTTCATCTGACCATATGACATTCTCCCAATCCTCTTCTGGATCATCCAAATGCACTCTAGCAAACTTCAGACGGGCCTGGACATGTACTGGCTTAAGCAGGGGGACACGTCTGGCACTGCAGGATTTGAGTCCCTGGCGGCGTAGTGTGTTACTGATGGTAGGCTTTGTTACTTTGGTCCCAGCTCTCTGCAGGTCATTCACTAGGTCCCCCTGTGTGGTTCTAGGATGTTTGCTGAGTTTGATGTGTGACTGTTTGAGGTTGTGGACAGGTGTCTTTTATACTGATAACAAGTTCAAACAGGTGCCATTAATACAGGCAACGAGTGGAGGACAGAGGAGCCTCTTAAAGAAGAAGTTACAGGTCTGTGAGAGCCAGAAATCTTGCTTGTTTGTAGGTGACCAAATACTTATTTTCCACCATAATTTGCAAATAAATTCAGATTCTTTTTTTCAATTTGTCTGTCATAGTTGACGTGTACCTATGATGAAAATTACAGGCCTCTCTCATCTTTTTAAGTGGGAGAACTTGCACAATTGGTGGCTGACTAAATACTTTTTTTCCCCCCACTGTATTTTGTGAAGTGCACCAGTCCCTCCTGCAGCAAAGCACCCCCACAGCATGATGCTGCCACCCCCGTGCTTCACGGTTGGGATGGTGTTCTTCGGCTTGCAAGCCACCCCCTTTTTCCTCCAAACATAACGATGGTCATTATGGCCAAACAGTTCTATTTTTGTTTCATCAGACCAGAGGACATTTCTCCAAAAAGTACGATCTTTTTTCCCATGTGCAGTTGTAAACCGTAGTCTGGCTTTTTTATGGCGGTTTTGGAGCAGTGGCATCTTCCTTGCTGAGCGGCCTTTCAGGTTATGTCGATATAGGACTCGTTTTACTGTGGATATAGATACTGTTGTACCTGTTTCCTCCAGCATCTTCACAAGGTCTTTTGCTGTTGTTCTGGGATTGATTCGCACTTTTCGCACCAAAGTACGTTCATCTCTAGGAGACAGAATGCGTTTCCTTCCTGAGCGGTATGACGGCTGTGTGGTCCCATGGTGTTTATACTTGCGTACTATTGTTTGTACAGATGAACGTGGTACCTTCAGGCGTTTGGACATTGCTCCCAAGGATGAACCAGACTTGTGGAGGTCTACAATTATTTTTCTGAGGTTGGCTGATTTCTTTTGATTTTCCCATGATGTCAAGCAAAGAGGCACTAAGTTTGAAGGTAGGCCTTGAAATACATCCACAGGTACACCTCCAATTGACTCAAATTATGTCAATTAGCCTATCAGAAGCTTCTAAAGCCATGACATCATTTTCTGGAATTTTCCAAGCTGTTTAAAGGCACAGTCAACTTAGTGTATGTAAACTTCTGACCCACTGGAATTGTGATACAGTGAATTATAAATGAAATAATCTGTTTGGAAAGAATTGTTGGAAAAATTACTTCTGTCATGCACAAAGTATATGTCCTAACCGACTTGCCAAAACTATAGTTTGTTAACAAGAAATGTGTGGAGTGGTTGAAAAACTAGTTGTAATGACTCCAACCTAAGTGTATGTAAACTTCCGACTTCAACTGTAGGTATTACAGATCAGGGATAGGTTGAAAATGTCAGTGAAGACACTTGCCAGTTAGTCAGCGCCTGCTCGGAGTACACGTCCTGGTAATCCGTCTGGCCCTGCGGCCTTGTGAATGTTGACCTGTTTAAAGGTCTTACATCAGCTACGGCGAGCGTGATCACACAGTCGTCCGGAACAGCTGGTGCTCTCATGCATTCTTCAGTGTTGCTTGCCTCGAAGCGCGCCTTTAAGTCGTTTAGCTCGTCTGGTAGGCTTGTGTCACTGGGCAGCTCGCGGCTGTGCTTCCTGTTGTAGTCTGTAATAGTTTGCAAGCCCTGCCACATCCGACGAGCTTCGGCGCCGGTGTTGTAGGATTCAATCTTAGTCCTGTATTGACTCTTTGCCTGTTTGATGGTTCGTCGGAGGGCATAGCGGGATTTCTTATAAGCGTCCGGGTTAGAGTGCCTCTCCTTGAAAGCGGCAGCTCTACCCTTTAGCTCAGTGTGGATGTTGCCTGTAATCCATGGCTTCTGGTTTGGGTATGTACGTACGGTCACTGTGGGGACAATGTCATCAATGCACTTATTGACGAAGCCGGTGACTTTTAGTCTACACAGTTTAAGTCTACACAAACATAGTCTTGAGTACAGGTCATAAGTGCAGTACACAAATCTGAACAATTTCTCATTTAAAGCATGTACATACACTGAGTATACTAAACATTAGGAACACCTTCCTGATATTGAGTTGCACTCCCCCCCCACCCCGACTATTGTATCTGTGTTTACAGGTCTATATTTCCTACATGCATTAAGATATCCTAACATTGTTTGTTTGTGTATGTTGGGCAGACAATTGGCTACGTGTATTCCACATTTTAGCAACATCACAGCTTGCAATATTCAGCCAGGCGTTATTCTGCACTTTTTAAGTTAAGGGGTTGTGTCACAATCTTATCAATTTAACCACTTTTGCAGTGAAATATTTTTATACAACCATCCATAAAAAAAAAAATATATGGGAGACCTTTTTAGAGATATGGGAAAAAACACGGTAGTGCTTTGTTATACGAGTAGCGATATCTCAAACTAAAGCCCTTCTTTGAAGATTGGAACTAGCCTATACTGACCAGTCTTGTTTGATATTCCAGATGACCACAAGACCATTGGAGCAGACACTGAGAACTTGGCCGCTCAGATTGAGGACTATATCCTTTCCACCAGTGTTCTTGTTGCTGTATGTTTCTGGTGGTGTGGTGGTGAGGACCAGATGCATTCTTATGTGTAAAAAGTGTGAGGACAGAGTTGTGGTTTGGTTATCTTTTGGTGGCCAAGGTTTTCTCTGCCTTCTCCTTCACTTCCCTGCTCCACGTATCTACCAGGAGTTTAAGTCTACAGACCAGAAGTACAAGTCGAGACTGAGGAGCCGTATCTCCAACCTGAAGGACCAGAAGAACCCAGACCTCCGACGGAACGTCCTCGCTGGAAACATCTCTGCAGACCGCATCGCTAACATGGCCGCTGAGGTACATGGGGGGGGGGGGGGGGGGGGGGGGGTGAAGAATATGTGTTTGTGAGAGAGAGAGAGAGAGAGAGAGGTGTCTGTGTATTTCATGTTTTAGCAGTAAACTCCTTAAGGCAGCATGCTTCAGTTCAGCTGGTGTCTACCCGAACCGAACGAGTATACTCCCTTAAAATACCTTCGCTTGAAAAAACGAAGACGCCGTAGCCAGACAAAATAGTCAGAATTAATCTTAAGATAACTCAAGAAATGTGTCATTAATTTTGACGTTTTTTGCTGAGGAGATCATAGTCGCGCAATTTTACATCTAACAAAGATGTTTGGTGCAGTATTTCTCAAAGTAAAAAATGTGCATGAAAGCGAGTCGTATCTCGTTTGAATGACAACAAACGCTTCAATGTAGAATCCTTACGGTTGACCAATCACCGACGAAGGGGCGTGGACTTTGGCTACCGACTTCGGCTTGCCTCGAGCAAAAGAATTGTGTGCCCGAACAGCCGAGGAAAAAAACCCTGGGAAGCACGCGGACGCCTTTACACACTTGAAATATGAGGTTTACTCTAAAATAGTGATAATGGTTTGTGTGAACTTCTTATCTGACACTGAGACCGTTCTGGAAGGTCAATTCTTACACAATGGTGTGTCTGTGTGTGACCCGACAGGAGATGGCGAGTGCGGAGCTGAAAGAGATGAGGAAGACTTTGACCAAGGACGCCATCAGAGAGCACCAGCTGTCCAAAGTGGGCGGGACCGAGACGGACATGTTCCAATGTGGCAAATGCAGGGGCAAGAACTGCACCTATACACAGGTACTGACATAGTCAACTGGACCTCTACACAGGTACTGACCTAATACTAATACAGGTACTGACCTAATACTAATACAGATACTGACCTAATACTAATACAGGTACTGACCTAATACTAATACAGATACTGACCTAATACTAATACAGATACTGACCTAATACTAATACAGATACTGACCTAATACTAATACAGATACTGACCTAATACTAATACAGATACTGACCTAATACTAATACAGATACAGACCTAATACTAATACAGGTACTGACCTAATACTAATACAGATACTGACCTAATACTAATACAGATACTGACCTAATACTAATACAGATACTGACCTAATACTAATACAGATACTGACCTAATACTAATACAGATACTGACCTAATACTAATACAGACCTAATACTAATACAGATACTGACCTAATACTAATACAGATACTGACCTAATACTAATACAGATACTGACCTAATACTAATACAGATACAGACCTAATACTAATACAGATACTGACCTAATACTAATACAGATACTGACCTAATACTAATACAGATACTGACCTAATACTAATACAGATACTGACCTAATACTAATACAGATACGGTACTCGAGAGGTAGGCTACTGGCGACCCGCGGGCCAAAACTGGACTGAAAGTATCGTATTTTTTTTGGACAGCCGAAGATTTTAGTGGGAAAAAAATATTAATCTATATACACAGAGCATTCGGAAAGTATTCAGACCCCTTCACTTTTTCCTCATTTTGTAATATTACAGCCTTATTCTAAAATAGATTAAATAGTTTGTGACACTACAAGCTTGGCACACCTGTATTTGGGGAGTTTCTCCCATTCTTCTCTGCAGATCCTCTCAAGCTCTGTCAGGTTGGATGGGGAGCGTCACTGCACAGATATTTTCAGGTCTCTCCAGAGATGTTTGATCGGGTTCAAGTCCGGGCTCTGGCTGGGCCACTCAAGGACATTCAGAGACTTGTCCCGAAGCCACTCCTGCGTTGTCTTGGCTGTGGGCTTAGGGTCGTTGTCCTGTTGGGAGGTGAACCTTCGTCCCAGTCTGAGGTCCTGAGAGCTCTGGAGCAGGTTTTCATCAAGGATCTCTCTGTATTTTGCTCCATTAATCTTTCCCTCGATCCTGACTAGTCTCCCAGTCCCTGCCGCTGAAAAACATCCCCACAGCATGATGCTTCCACCACCATGCTTCACCCTAGGGATGGTGCCAGGTTTCCTCCAGACGTGAAGCTTGGCATTCAGGCCACAGAGTTCAATCTTGGTTTCGTCAGACCAGATAATCTTGTTTCTCATGGTCCTTTAGGTGCCTTTTGGCTCCAAGTGGTCTGTCATGTGCCTTTTACTGAGGAGTGGCTTCCGTCTGGCCACTCTACCATAAAGGCCTGATTGGTGGAGTGCTGCAGAGATGGTTGTCCTTCTGGAAGTTTATCCCATCTCCACAGAGGAACTCTGGAGCTCTGTCAGAGTGACCATCAGGTTCTTGGTCACCTCCCTGACCAAGGCCCTTCTCCCCCGATTGCTCAGTTTGGCAAGGCAGCCAGCTCTAGAAAGAGTCTTGGTGGTTCTAAACTTCATCCATTTAAGAATAATGGAGGCCACTGTGTTCTTGGGGACCTTCAATGCCGCAGAAATGTTTTGGTACCCTTCCCCAGATCTGTGCCTCGACACAACCCTGTCTCGGAGCTCTAGGGACAATTCCTTCGACCTCATGGCTTGGTTTTTGCTGACATGCACTGTCAACTGTGGGACCTTATATAGACAGGTGTGTGCCTTTCCAGATCATGTCCAATCACTTGAATTTACCACAGGTAGACTCCAGTCAAGTTGAAGAAACATCTCAAGGATGATCAATGGAAACAGGATGCACCTGAGCTCAATTTCGAGTCTCATAGCAAAGGGTCTGAATACTTAAGAAATTAGCAAACATTTCTAAAAACCTATTTTCGCTTTGTCATTATGGGGTATTGTGTGTAGATTGAGGAAATAAATGTATTTAATCAATTTTAGAATAAGGCTGTAACGTAACAAAATGTGGAAAAAGTCAAGGGGTCTGAATAATTTCAGAATGCACTGTGTATATATATAAACTACAGTTGAAAAGTTTGGGGTCACTTAGAAATTGAAATTTTCGAAAGAAATGCAATTTTTTTGTCCATTTAAAATAACATCAAATTGATCAGAAACACAGTGTAGACATTGTTAATGTTGTAAATGGCTATTGTAGCTGGAAACGGCTGATTTTTAATGGAATATCTACATAGGCGTACAGAGGCCCATTATCAGCAACCATCAGTCCTGTGTTCCAATGGCACGTTGTGTTTGCTAATTCAAGTTTATCATTTTAAAAGGCAAATTGATCATTAGAAAACCCTTTTGCAATTATGTTAGCACAGCTGAAAACGGTTGTGCTGATTAAAGAAGCAATAAAACTGGCCTTCTTGAGACTAGTTGAGTATCTGGAGCATCAGCAATTGTGGGTTCGATTACAGGATCAAAATGGCCAGAAACAAATAACTTTCTTCTGAAACTCGTCGGTCTATTCTTGAAGGCTATTCCATGCGAGAAATTGCCAAGAAACTGAAGATCTCGTACAATGCTGTGTACTACTCCCTTCACAGAACAGCGCAAACTGTCTCTAACCAGAATAGAAAGAGGAGTGGGAGGCCCCGGTGCACAACTGAGCAAGAGGACAAATTCATTAGAGTGTCTAGTTTGAGAAACAGACGCCTCACAGGTCCTCAACTGGCAGCTTCATTAAATAGCACCCGCAAAACACCAGTCTCAACGTCAACAGTGAAGAGGCGACTCCGGGATGCTGACCTTCTAGGCAGAGTTGCAAAGAGAAAGTCCAGTGTCTGTGTTCTTTTTCCCAACTTAATCTTTTCTTTTTATTGGCCAGTCTGAGATATGGCTTTTTATTTCCAACTCTGCCTACAAGGTCAGCATCCCCGGAGTCGCCGACCATCCGCTCTGACAAAAATCAGCCCACGGCTGAATTTAGTTGCCTACCCCTGCTGTACACGCTGTCTCTCCCTGTGTTTTCTAGGTGCAGACGCGCAGTGCTGATGAACCCATGACCACCTTCGTACTGTGCAACGGCTGTGGCAACCGCTGGAAGGTAGGCAGTATACCATACTCCCTAGTTATAGACACTACCCTGCTCCCTAGTTATAGACACTACCCTGCTCCCTAGTTATAGACACTACCCTGCTCCCTAGTTATAGACACTACCCTGCTCCCTAGTTATAGACACTACCCTGCTCCCTAGTCATAGACACTACCCTGCTCCCTAGTTATAGACACTACCCTGCTCCCTAGTTATAGACACTACCCTGCTCCCTAGTTATATACACTACCCTGCTCCCTAGTTATAGACACTACCCTGCTCCCTAGTCATAGACACTACCCTGCTCCCTAGTCATAGACCACTACCCTGCTCCCTAGTTATAGACACTACCCTGCTCCCTAGTCATAGACACTACCCTGCTCCCTAGTTATAGACACTACCCTGCTCCCTAGTTATAGACCTAACACCTGCTCCCTAGTTATAGACACTACCCTGCTCCCTAGTCATAGACACTACCCTGCTCCCTAGTTATAGACACTACCCTGCTCCCTAGTTATAGACACTACCCTGCTCCCTAGTCATAGACACTAACCCTGCTCCCTAGTTATAGACACTACCGTGCTCCCTAGTTATAGACACTACCACCCTGCTCCCTAGTTATAGACACTACCCTGCTCCCTAGTCATAGACACTACCCTGCTCCCTAGTTAATAGACCAACTACCCTGCTCCCTAGTCATAGACACTACCCTGCTCCTAGTTATAGACACTACCGTGCTCCCTAGTTATAGACACTACCCTGCTCCCTAGTTATAGACACTACCCTGCTCCCTAGTTATAGACACTACCCTGCTCCCTAGTTATAGACACTACCCTGCTCCCTAGTTATAGACACTACCATGCTCCCTAGTTATAGACACTACCCTGCTCCCTAGTTATAGACATACCTGCCCCAGCTGACACTACCCTGCTCCCTAGTTATAACCACTACCCTGCTCCCTAGTTATAGACACTACCCTGCTCCCTAGTTATAGACACTACCCTGCTCCCTAGTTATAGACACTACCCTGCTCCCTAGTTATAGACACTACCCTGCTCCCTAGTTATAGACACTACCCTGCTCCCTAGTTATAGACACTACCCTGCTCCCTAGTTATAGACACTACCCTGCTCCCTAGTTATAGACACTACCCTGCTCCCTAGTTAAGACACTACCCTGCTCCCTAGTTATAGACACTACCTGCTCCCTAGTTATAGACACTACCCTGCTCCCTAGTATAGACACTACCCTGCTCCCTAGTTATAACACTACCCTGCTCCCTAGTATAGACACTACCCTGCTCCCTAGTTATATACACTACCCTGCTCCCTAGTTATAGACACTACCCTGCTCCTAGTTATAGACACTACCCTGCTCCCTAGTGCATAGACACTACCCTGCTCCCTAGTATAGACACTACCCACTGCTCCCTAGTTATAGACACTACCCTGCTCCCTAGTTATAGACACTACCCCTGCTCCTAGTTTATAGACACTACCATCCTCTCCTAGTTATAGAACTACCTGCTCCAATAGTTTATAGACACTTACCCTGACTCCCTAGTTAGTAGGACACTACCCCCTGCCTCCCTAGTCCTAGACAACTACCCGTGCTCCCTAGTCCTAAGACCACTCCCCTGCTCCCTAGTCATAGACAACTACCCTGCTCACTAGTTATAGACCACTACCCGTTCTCCCTAGTTCTAGACACTACCCATGCTCCCTAGTCCATAGGACACTACCCTGCTCCTAGTTATAGACACTACCCTGCTCCCTAGTTATATACACTAACCCTGGCTCCCATAGTTATATACCACTACCCATGGCTCCCTAGTTTATAGACACTACCCTGCTCCCTAGTTATTAGACACTAACCCTGCCTACCCTAGTTATAGACCACTACCCTGCTACCCTAAGTTCCATATACACACCAACCCTGCCTCCCTAGTATATACACTACCCTGCTCCCTAGTTATAGACACTACCCTGCTCCCTAGTTATAGACACTACCCTGCTCCCTAGTTATAGACACTACCCTGCTCCCTAGTTATAGACACTACCCTGCTCCCTAGTTATAGACACTACCCTGCTCCCTAGTTATAGACACTACCATGCTCCTAGTTATAGACACTACCCTGCTCCCTAGTTATAGACACTACCTGTCCCTGTTTAGACACTCCTGCCCTAGTTATAGACACTACCCTGCTCCCTAGTCATAGACCACTACCACTGCTCCCTAGTTATAGACACTACCCTGCTCCCTAGTATAGACACTACCCTGCTCCCTAGTTATAGCACTACCGCTCCTAGCATAGACACTACCTGCTCCCTAGTTATAGACACTACCCTGCTCCCTAGTCATAGACACTACCCTGCTCCCTAGTTATAGACACTACCCTGCTCCCTAGTTATAGACACTACCCTGCTCCCTAGTTATAGACACTACCCTGCTCCCTAGTTATAGACACTACCCTGCTCCCTAGTCATAGACACTACCCTGCTCCCTAGTTATAGACACTACCCTGCTCCCTAGTTATAGACACTACCCTGCTCCCTAGTCATAGACACTACCCTGCTCCCTAGTCATAGACACTACCCTGCTCCCTAGTATAGACACTACCTGCTCCTAGTCATAGACACTACCTGCTCCCATAGACATTTCCCAATAGACACTACCCTGCTCCCTAGTCATAGACACTACCCTGCTCCCTAGTTATAGACACTACCCTGCTCCCTAGTCATAGACACTACCCTGCTCCCTAGTTATAGACACTACCACACCTGCTCCCTAGTTATAGACACTACCCTGCTCCCTAGTTATAGACACTACCCTGCTCCCTAGTTATAGACACTACCCTGCTCCCTAGTTATAGACACTACCCTGCTCCCTAGTTATAGACACATACCCTGCTCCCTAGTTATAGACACTACCCTGCTCCCTAGTTATAGACACTACCCTGCTCCCTAGTTATAGACACTACCCTGCTCCCTAGTTATAGACACTACCCTGCTCCCTAGTTATAGACACTACCCTGCTCCCTAGTATAGACACTACCCTGCTCCCTAGTTATACACTACCACTACCCTGCTCCCTAGTTATAGACATACCCTGTCCTAGTAAACACTACCCTGCTCCCTAGTATAGACACTACCCTGCTCCCTAGTTATAGACACTACCCTGCTCCCTAGTATAGACATACCTGCTCCCTAGTTATAGACACTACCCTGCTCCCTAGTCATAGACACTACCCTGCTCCCTAGTTATAGACACTACCCTGCTCCCTAGTTATAGACACTACCCTGCTCCCTAGTTATAGACACTACCCTGCTCCCTAGTTATAGACACTACCCTGCTCCTAGTCATAGACACTACCCTGCTCCCTAGTTATAGACACTACCCTGCTCCCTAGTTATAGACACTACCCTGCTCCCTAGTCATAGACACTACCCTGCTCCCTAGTTATAGACACTACCCTGCTCCCTAGTTATAGACACTACCCTGCTCCCTAGTTATAGACACTACCCTGCTCCCTAGTTATAGACACTACCCTGCTCCCTAGTTATAGACACTACCCTGCTCCCTAGTTATATACACTACCCTGCTCCCTAGTTATATACACTACCCTGCTCCCTAGTTATATACACTACCCTGCTCCCTAGTCATAGACACTACCCTGCTCCCTAGTTATAGACACTACCCTGCTCCCTAGTTATAGACACTACCCTGCTCCCTAGTTAGACACTACCCTGCTCCCTAGTTATAGACACTACCCTGCTCCCTAGTTATAGACACTACCCTGCTCCCTAGTTATAGACACTACACCCTGCTCCCTAGTTATAGACACTACCCTGCTCCCTAGTTATAGACACTACCCTGCTCCCTAGTTATAGACACTACCCTGCTCCCTAGTTATAGACACTACCCTGCTCCCTAGTTATAGACACTACCCTGCTCCCTAGTTATATACACTACCCTGCTCCCTAGTCATAGACACTACCCTGCTCCCTAGTCATAGACACTACCCTGCTCCCTAGTTATAGACACTACCCTGCTCCCTAGTTATAGACACTACCCTGCTCCCTAGTTATAGACACTACCCTGCTCCCTAGTTATAGACACTACCCTGCTCCCTAGTTAGACACTACCCTGCTCCTAGTTATGACACTACCCTGCTCCTAGTTATAGACACTACCCTGCTCCCTAGTTAAGACACTACCCTGCTCCCTAGTTATATACACTACCCTGCTCCCTAGTTATAGACACTACCCTGGGAGCACCTTATGTATTAGATCTGAAGTGGTGTTTGGGGCTAGAGGTCTTCATGGATCCACCTGTTACCCGAATACCTGAGACCCGATCCGGGACCCGAGTCGCTCCAGATACAAACATTCTAAATAATGTCACAGGTCTGGGTCCGATCTGATATGATTGTCTCGGGTATGTGTAATTTTAACTGACTTGTCCGGAGGACCCGTACAGATCGGAACGCGACGGCTGCAGCAGCGCCAGGGTCAGGGTCCGATCTGATATGAGGAGGACCCGTACAGATCGGAACGCGACGGCTGCAGCAGCGCCAGGGCGAGTGAATAATGTCACAGGTCAGGGTCCGATCTGATATGAGGAGGACCCGTACAGATCGGAACGCGACGGCTGCAGCAGCGCCAGGGCGAGAGACATTGTGTCGTCTACGCTGCTGCTCTTTGCTTTTCACCAGAGTGGCGTGTGCAGCTTGTTGTTGGCCAATCAGAAGTCACGAAGAGCCAGCAGGTCCATTTCGGAACTGGTCTGACTTTTTCTAGTTGGAGTTAGGATTGATAAGGGTTTGGGCATATTACTGATTTCCATATGGACCCCTAACCCCTACCCTCTTAAGTACTTCTCTAGATCTTACATGATTGGAACGGTACTCGTATGGGTGGCAGGTAGCTTTGTGGTTAAGTGCGTTGTGCCAGTAACCGAAAGGTCGCTGGTTCTAATCCCCGAGCCGACTAGGTGAAAAATCTGTCGACGTGCCCTTGAGCAAGGCACTTAACCCTAATTGCTCCTGTAAGTCGCTCTGGAAAAGAGCATCTGCTAAATGACTAAAATGTAAATGTAATTTTGTATGGTGGTTCACCTTCTGATTTGGTTAGGGGGAATGTTTACCATATTGCTCCAGTCCTGTCAGATCTGCAGGCATGTGTATAGGGGTAGAGACAAGGGGTTCATTTGGAATCTCAACATTTGACTAATGCGAGGTTACCTAACCTTGACTCGGTGTGATTTGTAAATAAGGGCTTGGCTAGTCAGCCCTGCTGCAGTACAACAGTGTCACCACAAGATGGCAGCAGACATTGTCAAGCAGTGGTGACTCTACCAGTGCCACTGTGGTGTGTGAACATGCTGACTTCTAATGAAGTTGTTACATTCTCTCCCATCAGGATAATACAACATACCTACCAGACACTTTATTCTCTCATGTGTACCCACATTTGAGTCATTTAGCAGATGCTCTTATCCAGAGTGACTTGCAACCAGGGCATTCAACTAAATGAAATCAACCACATGCCATGATCATTGCAAGTAAAACCTTTAATAAAATATGATGTCATGGATTAATCCAACCTTTTCTCCCACCTCTCCAGTTCTGTTGAGGAGAAGATGATGTCATGGATTTGCTGCGAGATGAGCTGACATTTTTGTTACAACTGCAAATAGTTTTTCCTGTTGTTTTTATTTTGTTTTGATACCTTTTTTTTTTTTTTTTTTTTTTTTTTTACATTTACTCATAAATCTGGAATATATTTTGAGGAGCTAGTCTGGGTGCCTTTCTGTTTCTGCTTGCCACAACCTCTTATGGAATGTCAACGAGTTGGCAAGAGCACAAACCGATCTCGGACCAGGCTGAAGTTGAGCACTCATTCTTAAAACAAGATTTTGGTTTGGATGTTTATTAGTTGAAGCTATATCGTACTAAAAAAGCTTTTGTTTTTGGCATTAAGGGAACATAGTGGTGCCTTTCTTTGTCTCTGTGCCAGAAATGATGATTTTACTGTTAGCTTTATACACTTGCTGTATATAGAGTATATACACTCTTAGGGTGCGCCCCAAATGGCACGCTATTCACTTCACAGGACACTAAAAGTAGTGCACTATATAGGGAATAGGGTGCTATTTGGGACGCGCGTTTGCTGTACATAGAACAAGCTGTTGTTTGGTGCTATTCTGAATCTACAGTCTAACATACACACGGCACAGGTTCTTTAAAGAGTTCCATTTAGGTTTCAATTATTCCGTAAAAAAAACGAACGAACGAAAGAAACGGTAGGATCTGCTGGAAGATGTAGAGTTGCAGAGGAGTGGAATGGGATGAGGAGGAGGGGGACAGCTGTCAGTTTCTCTTCTTGTCCTTCTCTGATCGTACGTTAGTAACGGTGTTAGCGGGGAGAGGTAGCCTGATCGTACGTTAGTAACGAGTTAGCGGGGAGAGGTAGCCTGATCGTACGTTAGTAACGGGTTAGCGGGGAGAGGTAGCCTGATCGTACGTTAGTAACGGGTTAGCGGGGAGAGGTAGCCTGATCGTACGTTAGTAAAGGGTTAGCGGGGAGAGGTAGCCTGATCGTACGTTAGTAAAGGGTTAGCGGGGAGAGGTAGCCTGATCGTACGTTAGTAACAGGTTAGCGGGGACAGGTAGCCTGATTGTACGTTAGTAAAGGGTTAGCGGGGACAGGTAGCCTGATCGTACGTTAGTAAAGGGTTAGCAGGGACTGGAGAAGTAGCCTGATCGTACGTTAGTAAAGGGTTAGCGGGGAGAAGTAGCCTGATCGTACGTTAGTAAAGGGTTAGCAGGGACTGGAGAAGTAGCCTGATCGTACGTTAGTAAAGGGTTAGCGGGGAGAAGTAGCCTGATCGTACGTTAGTAAAGGGTTAGCAGGGACTGGAGAAGTAGCCTGATCGTACGTTAGTAAAGGGTTAGCAGGGACTGGAGAAGTAGCCTGATATCCAATGATAAAACATATCTAAAATGTTGGTTGGATATCAGGCTACTGTAGAAGAGGGCATCCTGACAAAAACGGTCGACTGGTTTGAAAAGTTTTGTCATGCAAGTGATTTTATTTTGTATGTAAACATTTGTCCTCCCAACGGGAACTTGTGTCAATTTAATTAAAAACAGATGTAAGGAGTGTGGAACGAGTCTGGGGGTCCTGGTGAGTTCTTGTTAACACTTTGTAAATGCTATCAACTGGGCCACGTGCAGATATTGTTTAACGTTGCAGATAGAAATGTAATGAATAGAGCAGACATGTAGAACAAGGAACCACGTCAGAGAGGCGTGTTTGTTCTACATAGCATATTTCTATCTGAACGTTCTACAACATCGTGTCCCACTGAACACGCCCCTATGCAAAGAAGGTGAAAGACCCAAGGAAAGTTCCATCTACATGACGAAATGTTTGCTTGTGGAAAAGGCCAAAGAAGAACCCCCCCCTCTTGACAATTTTTACCTGAGTTGTTATGCCTGAAATCTCACCCTATCTTATAAAATATTTGGGAGTACTAGAGATCTGCATTTAACTTCATCATATAATATAGAAGTTGATGTACATTTCCCCATTACTTCTCACCAGATCAACTGAAAGTTTGCTGTGGAAAAACCGGAAGAGGAACAAACTAGCCAATTCACCTGACCCTTTTGCATGACATCTCAGCTCTACCTTTGCATGACACTTACTCTAGGTATTCCTAGGAGTCCACCTGCTGTTGACCTTATCATTGAATAGAAACCTAATTGTGCCCAGTAACCGAAAGGTCGCTGGTTCTAATCCCCGAGCCAACTAGGTGAAAAATCTGCCGATGTGCCCTTGAGCAAGGCACTTAACCCTAATTGCTCCTGTAAGTCGCTCTGGATGAGAGCGTCTTGCTAAAATGTAAATGTCATTAACCTGTAAACATCTATAAATGACTAAATGTTGTAGTTCCGTACCACCGAGGTCATGAGGTAAGTCATACTAGTTTGTAATGGTGCAGCTGCCATTTCCTCCCCGGCCGAGACAGGGTCCTGTTCACAATGTAGGAAACTGACCAAAAACGGTTCAAAACACAGTGGTAGGTGGCTTTTTTTTTGTTGGGTTTTACATTGCAAAGCATTTTGCTACGGTGTGCTGGGAGTGCTTCAATGTGGTGTGTGTGTGTGTGGAGCGCTGTGTTTATTTTGGCAATAGCAGGTTATTTCCATACCTGTGGATCAAGAGCGGGACCAGACCAGCCTGTCAAATCCCTCGTGTCTACACTTGACACTTACGTGTGACTTCGGCTATCAGAATACGAAGATCGCATTGAAAAAGTCGCTTTGTGGTCCGATTTTGTGTTCGGATCTGGCTGACCACTTCAGGAGGTGGTCAAGGGTGCATTGCATGCACAGATTTCTCCTCAGTTTGGACGCAATCAGGCTACCGAAAGTGCATACATTGGGCGATGTCATCGGCACTCCTCCCACAAGTCTCCAGAAAACTTGTGTTTTGGGACCAAGAGTCACCTTTTCATTATAACGTTGGAGGAAATACGTTCCTAGTGTGTGAGGAACGTGTTTTCTGGCATCATAAATGCTAGCCAGCTAGCTAATATTTAGAAAAATTATTTTTTTGTTTGGCTAACAGAGTTATGCTAACCCGTTTGCTATCCCTTTAGCGTTGCTGGCTAGCTACAGAGGTTAGCTGGCTAGTTAGCTACTGCCATCAGTAGTTGTGTTATTATAATATTTTCCCTATTCCACCGTTTTGTAGAATGCATACTGGTATTTGAATATAGCGCAGGAAAAGGGAATCCGGACACACTGTGGACACGGTAGACACATTTAAATGTAGGTATAGATGCAATGACACGTTCGAAATTCCATGATCAGAACTCTTATGATCGGAATAGAAAAGCTGCATGAACTGTCAAGTCTAGACAGGGCCTCTTCTGACAGACACTGAGACACGCGTGTTAGAGAGCTGCAAGACTAGACACGTAATTACCGTAGTCTGATTAGGGTTCAGTGGATATATAGTCTCTGTTTTGGTGAAGTATTCAGCCTCTTTCTCTCTGGTGACTGGCTGGTCTCAGACGATCACGCGGGTGAAGAAGGAGGTCCTGGGCTGGCGTGGTTACACGTGGTCTGCGGTTGCGAGGCCAGTTGGACGTACTGCCAAATTCTCTAAAACGACGTTGGAGGCAGCTTATGGTAGAGAAATGGACATTCAATTCTCTGGCAACAGCTCTGATGGACATTCCTGCAGTCAGCATGCCAATTGCCAATCTGTGGCATTGTTTTGTGTGTCAAAACTGCACATTTATAGAGTGGCCTTTTATTGTCCCCAGCACAAGGTGCACCTGTGTAACGATCATGCTGTTTAATCAGCTTCTTGATATGCCACACCTGTCAGGTGGATGGATTATCTTGGCAAAGGAGAAATGCTCACTAACAGGGATGTAAACACATTTGTGCACAACATTTGGGAGAAATAAGCTTTTTGTGCGTACGGAACATTTCTGGGATCTTTTATTTCAGCTCATGAAACATGGGACCAACACTTTACATGTTGCGTTTATATTTTTGTTCAATCTAGATATGTGAGGGTTGACTCCTGTCCAGCCTGTCCTCCTTCCTGTCCAGCCTGTCCTCCTTCCTGTCCAGCCTGTCCTCCTTCCTGTCCAGCCTGTCCTCCTTCCTGTCCCTCTAGCAACCAACAGATGGCCCTCAGACGACAGAAGCTGAGGAGATGAACAAACTCTGTTCATCTCTGTCAAAAATATTTTTGGCCAAAAACATAAAATGGAATATTGAAAGATGAAGGTTTAGGGCCTACTTTCAACTGTGACACTTGGTTAATTTGGCACACATTCAGTAAAACAGTTGTGTGTTGCAAAGCTGCTACAGTTTAGGTGACATTTATTTAGCTAGGATAGTCCACTCACAGGGAGTCCTGGGTTACAGGGTAACAGTAACTCATAGATATTTGAGAGCATTACTGAGTTACATAGTGAAGCTGCCAAGTGTCCTCTCTCTCTTCCATGCTCTTTGTGAGGAGTTATCACATCTACTGTTCTCTGTTGTCACATCTACCGCTCTCTGTGAGGAGTTATCACATCTACTGCTCTCTGTTATCACATATACTGCTATCTGTTATCACATCTACTGCTCTCTGTTATCACATCTACTGCTCTCTGTTATAATCACATCTACTGCTCTCTGTTGTCACATCTACTGCTCTCTGTGAGGAGTTATCACATCTACTGCTCTCTGTGAGGAGTTATCACATCTACTGCTCTCTGTTATCACATCTACTGCTATCTGTTATCACATCTACTGCTCTCTGTTATCACATCTACTGCTCTCTGTTATAATCACATCTACTGCTCTCTGTTGTCACATCTACTGCTCTCTGTGAGGAGTTATCACATCTACTGCTCTCTGTGAGGAGTTATCTTATCTACTGCTCTCTGTTATCACATCTACTGCTCTCTGTGAGGAGTTATCACATCTACTGTTCTCTGTGAGGAGTTATCACATCTACTGCTCTCTGTGAGGAGTTATCACATCTACTGCTCTCTGTTATCACATCTACTGCTCTCTGTTATCACATCTACTGCTCTGTTATCACATCTACTGCTCTCTGTGGGGAGTTATCACATCTACTGCTCTCTGTTATCACATCTACTGCTCTCTGTTATCACATCTACTGCTCTCTGTTAGCACATTTACTGCTCTCTGTTATCACATCTACTGCTCTCTGTTATCACATCTACTGCTCTCTGTGAGGAGTTATCACATCTACTGCTCTCTGTTATCACATCTACTGCTCTCTGTTATCACATCTACTGCTCTCTGTTATCACATCTACTGCTCTCTGTTAGCACATTTACTGCTCTCTGTTATCACATCTACTGCTCTCTGTTTTCACATCTACTGCTCTCTGTTATCACATCTACTGCTCTCTGTTATCACATCTACTGCTCTCTGTTATCACATCTACTGCTCTCTGTTATCACATCTACTGCTCTCTGTTATCACATCTACTGCTCTCTGTTATCACATCTACTGCTCTCTGTTATCACATCTACTGCTCTCTGTTATCACATCTACTGCTCTCTGTTATCACATCTACTGCTCTCTGTTATCACATCTACTGCTCTCTGTTAGCACATTTACTGCTCTCTGTTATCACATCTACTGCTCTCTGTTATCACATCTACTGCTCTCTATCACATCTACTGCTCTCTGTTATCACATCTACTGCTCTCTGTTAGCACATTTACTGCTCTCTGTTATCACATCTACTGCTCTCTGTTATCACATCTACTGCTCTCTGTTATCACATCTACTGCTCTCTGTTATCACATCTACTGCTCTCTGTGAGGAGTTATCACATCTACTGCTCTCTGTTATCACATCTACTGCTCTCTGTGAGGAGTTATCACATCTACTGCTCTCTGTTATCACATCTACTGCTCTCTGTGAGGAGTTATCGCATCTACTGCTCTCTGTTATCACATCTACTGCTCTCTGTGAGGAGTTATCACATCTACTGCTCTCTGTTATCACATATACTGCTCTCTGTTATCACATCTACTGCTCTCTGTTATCACATCTACTGCTCTCTGTTATCACATCTACTGCTCTCTGTTATCACATCTACTGCTCTCTGTTATCACATCTACTGCTCTCTGTTATCACATCTACTGCTCTCTGTTATCACATCTACTGCTCTCTGTGAGGAGGTATCACATCTACTGCTCTCTGTTATCACATCTACTGCTCTCTGTGAGGAGTTATCACATCTACTGCTCTCTGTTATCACATCTACTGCTCTCTGTGAGGAGTTATCACATCTACTGCTCTCTGTTATCACATCTACTGCTCTCTGTGAGGAGTTATCACATCTACTGCTCTCTGTTATCACATCTACTGCTCTCTGTTATCACATCTACTGCTCTCTGTTATCACATCTACTGCTCTCTGTTATCACATCTACTGCTCTCTGTTATCACATCTACTGCTCTCTGTTATCACATCTACTGCTCTCTGTTAGCACATTTACTGCTCTCTGTTATCACATCTACTGCTCTCTGTTTTCACATTTACTGCTCTCTGATATCACATCTACTGCTCTCTGTTATCACATCTACTGCTCTCTGTTATCACATCTACTGCTCTCTGTTATCACATCTACTGCTCTCTGTTATCACATCTACTGCTCTCTGTTATCACATCTACTGCTCTCTGTTATCACATCTACTGCTCTCTGTTATCACATCTACTGCTCTCTGTTAGCACATCTACTGCTCTCTGTTAGCACATTTACTGCTCTCTGTTATCACATCTACTGCTCTCTGTTATCACATCTACTGCTCTCTGTTATCACATCTACTGCTCTCTGTGAGGAGTTATCACATCTACTGCTCTCTGTTATCACATCTACTGCTCTCTGTGAGGAGTTATCACATCTACTGCTCTCTGTTATCACATCTACTGCTCTCTGTGAGGAGTTATCACATCTACTGCTCTCTGTTATCACATCTACTGCTCTCTGTGAGGAGTTATCACATCTACTGCTCTCTGTTATCACATCTACTGCTCTCTGTTATCACATCTACTGCTCTCTGTTATCACATCTACTGCTCTCTGTTATCACATCTACTGCTCTCTGTTATCACATCTACTGCTCTCTGTTATCACATCTACTGCTCTCTGTTATCACATCTACTGCTCTCTGTGAGGAGGTATCACATCTACTTGACATGACAGTCTTCAGACGTCTTTATAACACCATTCAAATGCCTGCCAAGGCTACACACTATGCATTCCTTTGCATATATGCACGCATACGCATATTACATACATTTTGAAAACCAAAAAAATTAAACATATACACTCATGCATGCTCCTAAACGGTTCAGAGCATCAACCACTCCCCAGTAGGATTTCTATACTATTTTGTTTTGTGGTAAAATGAATAATAATGGCGTTCTCTATGATATAGTATATTCACATTCAATGTTATCTACATGTATGTATTATGTTAAATATGTACTATTCCATGTGTATTTACAAAATATATATATATATATATATATATATATATATATATATATATATATATATATTTAGGATCAATGCAATTTGTGAAAGTAAACTTCATTATGAAGAAGCATCTAGAGCTGGTTTCCCAGACATGGAACAAGTCTAGTCCAGGACTATACAGAGTGGACAAAACATTAGGAACACCTGCTCTCTCTCTCTCTAACCTCTCACTTTCTCTCTCTAACCTCTCTCTCATTTATGTCTCTCTAACTTTCTCTCTAACCTCTCTCTCTCTCTCTCCAACCTCTCTCTCTCTATCCCTCTCTCTCTCTCTCTCTATCCCCTCTCCTCTCTCCTCCTCTCTCCCCCCCTCTCTCCTCCCCTCTCTCTCTCCTCCCCTCCCCCTTCTCTCTCTCTCTCCCCTCTCCTCCTCTCCTCCCGCTTCTCCCGTCCACCGGGTCGATCTCTCTTCTCCACACCTCGAGCTCTCTCTCTCTCAGGCCCCTTCTCTGGGCGTCTCTATGCCTCTCGAATCCCCTCTCTCTCTCTCTCTCTCTCTCTCTCCCGCTCGCTCCAACCTCTCTCTCTCCAACCTCCTTATACAGTATATACAGGTATACACCAAATGTACAAAACATTAGGAACACCTGCTCTTTCCATGACATGGACTGACCCAGTGAATCCAGGTGAAAGCTATGATCTCTTACTGATGTCACTTGTTAAATCCACTTCAATCCGTGTAGATGAAGGGGAGGAGACAGGTTAAAGAAGGATTTTTACGCCTAGAGACAATCGAGACATGGATTGTGTGTGTGTGTGCCATTCAGAGGGTGAATGGGCAAGACAAAATATTTAAGTGCCTTTGAACAGGGGTATGGTAGTAGGTGCCAGGCGCTCCGGTTCGAGTGCGTCAAGAACTGCTGGGTTTATGAAAAAGAGGACAAAGGAGGCTGATACGAGTTGTGCAGAGCAACAGACGGGCTACAGTTAGTCGACTGCCAGTCCAGTACAAAATTAATGGCCAAAGACCTATAAAAGATTGCACAACTTGACATGAATGGGGTATGGCAGCTGATGACCTTAAAAAAAAACAAGAAACTGCGATTGCAGTGGGCTAAGGAATGAAAACACTGGAGGATTGGAAAACATCGCCTGGTCTGATGAATCCCGGGTCCCTGCTGTTTCACACTGATGGGAGGACTAGGGTATGGCGAAAACCTCATGAGTACATACTATCATGCAGCGTGTCAACATTGCAAGCTGGTGGTGTGATGGTGTGGGGTGTGTTTTCGTGGCACACATTGTGTCCCTTGATAAAAGTGGAGCAACGTTTGAACGCCATAGGATATCTGAACATCATTGCCAATCGGGTGCATCCCTTCATGGCAGCAGTGTATCCAAGGGGACTTGGCTTGGGACAGGAAGGAAGACCAGACAGTGTGAGGAGACTTGGCTTGGGACAGGAAGGAGACCAGACAGTGTGAGGAGACTTGGCATGGGACAGGAAGGAGACCAGACAGTGTGAGGGGACTTGGCTTGGGACAGGAAGGAGACCAGACAGTGTGAGGAGACTTGGCTTGGGACAGGAAGGGGACCAGACAGTGTGAGGAGACTTGGCTTGGGACAGGAAGGAGGACCAGACAGTGTGAGGAGACTTGGCTTGGGACAGGAAGGGGCCCAGACAGTGTGAGGAGACTTGGCTTGGGACAGGAAGGAGGACCAGACAGTGTGAGGAGACTTGACTTGGGACAGGAAGGAGGACCAGACAGTGTGAGGAGACTTGACCCAGACATATAGGAAATAACAGGGACATGTTAAAGACTGAAACATTAGGGGAACCCTCATCACCTCTTGGAAAGCCATTCTGGTCTATCTTTCACATTAAGTAATTGTCCCGCTGAAAAATAAAACAATCCCAGGGTTAGGTTTTCAGAAGACTACGGCGGGCTTTCCTTCAACTTTTCATACTTATTTTGATCCAGACAAACTCCCCAGTCACTGCCGGTGACAAGCATACCCATAACATGATGCTGCCAAAAATAAATGATAATAAATCATAGAAGAGTATAAATAGGAAGCCATTTTTATAATTGTCTTTCAATTTGACAACGTGGTGTACATTTTGTAAATCTGTAGGAAAAAATACTAATTGAATCCCTTTTTAGATTCAATTTTAAGGCAGCAAGATGTGGAGACGGTGCAAGGAGTGTACGTAGACTTTCACTAGGCACTGTATAATATTATTCATGGACCAATCGTAATACAGCAGCTTGTTTGGGCCAAGGCCAACCAGTGATGGGAGGAGTTCAGTTCACAGCATGTTACCCAGAAGCACCAGGGGACAGAGTGGATGAAATGTTTGTTGGCCATCTTTCATTCCAGAGCTGTTCTGGAGCAATGTTGGCATGACACCTACCATACGAGACCTAAGACACACCTGTCCAACATACCTGGAAACGGACTTGAAACACACACACACACACACTTGCACATACGCTAGCACACACACACACACACACACACACACACTACCATGCACGCACACTGCAACACACACACACACACACACACACACACACACACACACACACACTACCATGCACGCACACTGCAACACACACACACACACACACAGAGAATGTGTGTATTAGTGGGATTGTGTGTATTAGTGGGATTGTGTGTATTAGTGGGATTGTGTGTATTAGTGGGATTGTGTGTATTAGTGGGATTGTGTGTATTAGTGGGATTGTGCAAACACAGCAGGGAGCCACCCTAACAGAGAGAACGTACCATTCACCACCTACAGGTGGCGCCAGAGCGGTTCAAACTGGAAACACCAAAACTCATAGGCTTCGTCCGAAATGGCACCCTATTCCCTGTAAAGTGCACTACTTTTGACCGAAGCTGTTTATTTTTATTTGACCTTTATTTAACCAGGCAAGTCAGTTAAGAACAAATTCTTATTTACAATGACGGCCTACACCGGACCAAACCCGGACGACGCTGGGCCAATTGTGCGCCGCCCTATGGGGACTCCCAATCACGGCCGGTTGTGATACAGCCTGGAATCGAACCAGGGGGGTCTGTAGTGAAGCCTCAAGCACTGAGATGCAGCGCCTTAGACCGCTGCACCACTCGGGAGCATCTACCTCAAATACCTTATTATTATCTATCCTGATGTCTAGTCACTTTACCCTGCCTTCATGTACATATATACCTCAAATACCTTATTATTATCTATCCTGATGCCTAGTCACTTTACCCTGCCTTCATGTACATATATACCTCAAATACCTTATTATTATCTATCCTGATGCCTAGTCACTTTACCCTGCCTTCATGTACATATATACCTCAAATACCTTATTATTATCTATCCTGATGCCTAGTCACTTTACCCTGCCTTCATGTACATATCTACCTCAAATACCTTATTATTATCTATCCTGATGCCTAGTCACTTTACCCTGCCTTCATGTACATATCTACCTCAAACTCGGGAGCAGCGAGCTATGGCCTCTGGTAATGCACTATATAGCGAATAGTGTACCACATAGAGAACTTTTAACACAGTTGATGATTTGATTGAGACCTTGCTTGGTTTGTGTTGATTGGTCAAGGGTTTCTGTTTATATATGTACAATAAAATAATGATCACAGTTTAACAAAATGTAAAATAAATAACATTAATAATAGTAAGTTTAAAGCATTTTGAGTGACAGCAAGTTTAGTTAAGACCTAGGCATTATCTTCAGTCTTCTAACTACAGATATCTGTTGTCCTCAAACTCCATTTCCCATAAAACAGTTCAATAGCATTTTGTATATTTTTTTTGTGAGTCTTTTTTTTTTTTTTTTTTGCGACCTGGGATGGAAAAAATATCTTAGCCCCTCCCCTCCCTGATCGATCGACCAACCACAGCTCATCCCGATGCCTCTGATAGCCAATCACAGCAGTGAGGTGAGGGAGACAGTGGACAGGTCAAAGGTGAAAGTTCAAAGGTCAGAAGCAGAGTAGAGCAGCAGTGTCCAGGCGGTCCGGGTCGTGAACGTTGTGTTTAATGTTGAACGATAGAAAGTCATCTGAATAACTCCAGTGTCTTATTGCCAAGGTTCTTTTTATCTGGGCTCTCTTCCCAAATCAGGACGTTTGTCAGGAGAAAGTAGAATATGAACATACTGTATGTTATATACAAAAAAACAGGTTGTTATAAGTAAATCAGAATAATCAGTAGGTGCTGAAGCAGCAGTCACCACCAGCAGTGGAAGGAATGATATCCAACAGAAATAATGTCTCTGTCTTCCATGAATGTGTCTGTTTTTATTCTCAGTGAACAACCCTGTCTTCCAGTTACCTTGGCTTGTCAAATGGCACCATATTCCCTATATAGTGCACTACTTTTGACCAGAACCCTCTGCGGGTAGTGTACTATATAGGGAATAGGATGCTATTTATGGTGTCTGTGCAGTCAGGTTGGGCAACAAAAAAACATCCTACAGAAAAATCATAAAACGAACATCATAAAAATCCCCAAAAGGTTAGATATTTTCTCCTTTAGTGGTTGTGCAATGGAGAGAGACAGATACAGAAGGGAGTGGATGGAGAGATAGAGACAAGGAATAGAGGCAGAGTGAGACAGAGAGAGGGAGAGAGAGAGCGAGAGAGAGAGAGAGAGAGAGAGAGAGAGAGAGAGAGAGAGACAGAGAGAGAGGGAGAGAGAGCGAGAGGGAGAGAGAGCGAGATGAATGTAGTGGAGAGATTTAGTGAGAGCGCGAGTAATGTGAGGGAGGAGTGTGAGATGGAGATGGGTGGATGCGATAATATCCACGGAGCTATCTGCGCTCTCTTCGATCCGATGCACTCCCTCAACGTCGAGCTCTATCTCGAGACCTCTCTCTCGAATCCTCTCTAGATAGAGAGTGAGCTCTTTCTCTCTTGAGAGCTTCTCTCGCTCGCTCGTCGATGTTAGCGCTCTTCTCTCTGGTCGCTCGTGCTCTCAGTCGCTCAGCCGCGCTCTGCTTTATTACTCGTATTGTCAATGCGATTTCGGTTCGCGCTCGGGGGCTCTGTGCGTCTGCATCGGAGTTCTAGCCGTCTTTGTCTCGAGAGGTAGCCCTCGTGAGTGTGTGTGAGTCCCTGTTGTGACCTTGACTGATGGGGTGCCTGAGCCCGGGTGAACCTATGACTCTGAGGAGGTTTGGGAGCCCGGGTGAACCTATGACTCTGAGTTTTGGGAGCCCGGGTGAACCTATGACTCTGAGGTTTGGGAGCCCGGGTGAACCTATGACTCTGAGGAGGTGCCTGAGCCCGGGTGAACCTATGACTCTGAGGAGGTGTGGGAGTCTGGGTGAACCTATGACTCTGAGGAGGTGTGGGATTCCGGGTGAACCTATGACTCGGAGGTTTGGGAGCCCGGGTGAACCTATGACTCTGAGGAGGTGTCTGAGCCCGGGTGAACCTATGACTCTGAGGAGGTGTCTGAGCCCGGGTGAACCTATGACTCTGAGGAGGTGTCTGAGCCCGGGTGAACCTATGACTCTGAGGAGGTGTCTGAGCCCGGGTGAACCTATGACTCTGAGGAGGTGTGGGAGCCCGGGTGAACCAGTGATCTGTATATAGACGAGTTGAGGAAGCGAGGATAGGAGTCTCTGTGCATTAAGGTGTAGATCTGAAGCTGGGCGTCCTCAAAGGTGTGGGGCGTGGGCTCCTGTATCTTCCTGTTAATCACCTCTCTCACCCGGGAGTCCAGACTCACCTAGAGGACAGGGGGACGGGGAGTTGGAGAAGGGGAGAGAGAGAGAGAGAGAGAGAGAGAGAGAGAGAGAGATTAGCCTTGGACTCTCAAAAAACTATGTGAAAAAATACCAGCAAAGAAACGAAAGAGCATCACCACTCACAAATCACACTGAATTTGTAATCGATTTCCAACCCAGTGGGTTTCCATTGAGGTAGTACAGTACATTCACTACATGACCAAAAGTATGTGGACACCTGCTCGTCCAACATCTCCTTCCAAAATCATGGGCATTAATATGGAGTTGGTCCCCCCTTTGCTGCTATAACAGCCTCCACTCTTCTGGGAAGGCTTTCCACTAGATGTAGGAACATTGCTGCGGGGACTTGCTTCCATTCAGCCGCAAGACATTGGTGAGGTCAGGTACTGATGTTGGGCGATTAGGCCTGGCTCACAGTCAGCGTTCAAATTCATCCCAAAGGTGTTCGATGGGGTTAAAGTCAGGGCTCTGTGCAGGCCAGTCAAGTTCTTCCACACCGATTTCGACAAACCATTTCTGTATGGACCTTGCTTTGTGCACTGTGGCATTGTCAAGCTGAAACAGGAAAGGGCCTTCCCCAAACTGTTACCACAAAGTTGGAAGCACTGAATCCTCTAGAATGTATTGTATGCTGTAGCGTTAAGATTTCCCTTCACTGGAACTAAGAGGCCTAGCCCGAACCATGACAAACAGCCCCAGACCATTATTCCTCCTCCACCAAACTTTACAGTTGGCACTATGCATTGGGGCAGGTAGCGTTCTCCTGGCATCCGCAAAACCAAGACTCATCCGTCGGACTGCCAGATGGTGAAGTGTGATTCATTACTCCAGAGAACGTGTTTTGACTACTCAAATAAAATAAAATCAAAAGTTATTGGTCACATACACATATTTAGCAGATGTTATTGCGGTTGTAGCGAAATGCTTGTGTTCCTAGCTCCAACAGTGCAGTAGTATCTAACAATTCACAACAATACACACAAATCTAAAAGTAAAAGAATGGAATTAATAACTATATAAATATTAGGACGAGCAATGTCGGGGTGGCACTGACTAAAATACAGTAGAATAGAATACAGTATATACATATGAGATGAGTAAAGCAGTATGTAAACATTATTAAAGTGACCAGTGATTCCATGTCTATGTACATTGGGCAGCAGCCTCTAAGGTGCAGGGTTGAGTAACCGGGTGGTAGCCGGCTAGTGACAGTGACTAGTGATATTTATTTAACAGTCTGATGGCCTTGAGACAGAAGCTGTTTTTCAGTCTCTCGGTCCCAGCTTTGATGCACCTGTACTGACCTCGCCTTCTGGATGATAGCGGGGTGAACAGGCCGTGGCTCGGGTGGTTGATGTCCTTGATGATCTTTTTGGCCTTCCTGTGATATCGGGTGTTGCAGGTGTCCTGGAGGGCAGGCAGTGTGCCGCCGGCGATGCGTTGGGCAGACTGCACCCACCTCTGGAGAGCCCTGCGGTTGTGGGCGGTGCAGTTGCCATACCAGGCGGTGATACAGCCCGACAGGATGCTCTCAATTGTGCATCTGTAAAAGTTTGTGAGGGTCTTCGGGGCCAAGCCAAATTTCTTCAGCCTCCTGAGGTTGAAGAGGCGCTGTTGCACCTTCATCACAACATTGTCTGTGTGGGTGGACCATTTCAGTTTGTCAGTGATGTATACACTGAGGAACTTGAAGCTTTTCACCTTCTCCACTGCGGTCCCGTTGATGTGGATAGGGGCTTGCTCCCTCTGCTGTCTCCTGAAGTCCACGATCAGCTCCTTTATTTTGATGAAGTTGAGGGAGAGGTTATTTTCCTGGCCCCACTCTGCCAGGGCCCTCACCTCCTCCCTGTAGGCTGTCTCGTCATTGTTGGTAATCAGACCTACTACTGTTGTGTCGTCTGCAGACTTGATGATTGAGTTGGAGGCGTGCTTGGCCACTCAGTCATGGGTGAACAGGGAGTTTAAAAAAAACATTTTATTTCACCTTTATTTAACCAGGTAAGCCAGTTGAAAACAAGTTCTCATTTACATCTGCGACCTGGCCAAGATAAAGCAAAGCAGTGCGATAAAAACAACAACACAGAGTTACATATGGGGTAAAACAAAACATAAAGTCAAAAATACAACAGAAAATATATATACAGTGTGTGCAAATGTAGCAAGTTATGGAGGTAAGGCAATAAATAGGCTATAGTGCAAAATAATTACAATTAGTATTAACACTGGAATGATAGATGATGTGCAAATAGAGATACTGGGGTGCAAATTAGCAAAATAAATAACAATATGGGGATGAGGTAGTTGGGTGGGCTAATTTCAGATGGGCTGTGTACAGGTGCAGTGATCGGTAAGGTGCTCTGACAACTGATGCTTAAAGTTAGTGAGTGAGATAAGAGTCTCCAGCTTCAGAGATTTTTGCAATTCGTTCCAGTCATTGGCAGCAGAGAACTGGAAGGAATGGCGGCCAAAGGAGGTGTTGGCTTTGGGGATGACCAATGAGATATACCTGCTGGAGCGCATACTACGGGTGAGTGTTGCTATGGTGACCAATGAGCTAAGATAAGGCGGGGATTTGCCTAGCAGTGATTTATAGATGGCCTGGCGCCAGTGGGTTTGGCGACGAATATGTAGTGAGGACCAGCCAACAAGAGCGTACAGGTCACAGTGGTGGGTAGCGTATGGGGCTTTGGAGACAAAACGGATGGCACTGTGATAGACTACATCCAATTTGCTGAGTAGAGTGTTGGAGGCTATTTTGTAAATGACATCGCCGAAGTCAAGGATCGGTAGGATAGTCAGTTTTACGAGGGCATGTTTGGCAGCATGAGTGAAGGAGGCTTTGTTGCGAAATAGGAAGCCGATTCTAGATTTAACTTTGGATTGGAGATTCTTTATGTGAGTCTGGAAGGAGAGTTTACAGTCTAACCAGACACCTAGGTATTTGTAGTTGTCCACATACTCTAGGTCAGACCCGTCGAGAGTAGTGATTCTAGTCGGGTGGGCGGATGCCAGCAGCGTTCGATTGAAGAGCATGCATTTAGTTTTACTAGTGTTTAAGATTAGTTGGAGGCTATTGAAGGAGTGTTGTATTGGAGGTTTGTTAACACAGTGTCCAATGAAGGGCCAGATGTATACAAAATGGTGTCGTCTGCGTAGAGGTGGATCTGAGAGTCACCAGCAGCAAGAGCGACATCATTGATATACACAGAGAAAAGAGTCGGCCCAAGAATTGAACCCTGTGGCACCCCCATAGAGACTGCCATAGGTCCAGACAACAGGCCCTCCGATTTGACACATTGAACTCTTTCTGAGAAGTAGTTGGTAAACCAGGCGAGGCAGTCATTTGAGAAACCAAGGCTATTTAGTCTGCCAAAAAGAATGCGTTGGTTGACAGAGTCGAAAGCCTTGGCCAGGTCGATGAAGACGGCTGCACAGTACTGTCTATTATCGATCGCGGTTATAATATCGTTTAGGACCTTGAGCGTGGACACAGTAATGGGTAGTATATGGTGCTTTGGTGACACTGCACACTGCCCTATCCCATCTACAGGAGGGGGCTGAGCACGCACCCTTGTGGGGCCCCTGTGTTGAGGATCAGTGAAGTGGAAGTGTTGTTTCCTACCTTCACCACCTAGGGGGGCCCCATCAGGAAGTCCAGGACCCAGTTGCACAGGGCGGGGTTCAGACCCAGGGCCCCGAGCTTAATGATGAGCTTGGAGGGTACTATGGTGTTGAATGCTGAGCTATAGTCAATGAACAGCATTCTTACATAGGGTATTCCTCTTATCCAGATGGGATAGGGCAGTGTGCAGTGTGATGGTGATTGCATCATCTGTGGATCTATTGTGGCAGGAAAGGTAGAGGTGATATGATCCTTGACTAGTCTCTCAAAGCACTTCATGATGATAGCCATTTAGTGCAGTTACCTTTACTTTCTTGGGAACAGGGACAATGGTGGCCATCTTGAAGTGTGTGGGGACAGCAGACTGGGATAGGGAGAGATTGAATATGTCCGTAAACACTCCAGCCAGCTGGTCTGAGCATGCTCTGAGGACGCGGCTAGGGATGCCGGCAGCCTTGCAAGGGTTAACATGCTTAAACGTCTTACTCACGTCGGCCACGGAAAAGGAGAGGCCACAGTCCTTGGTAGTGGGCCTCGTCAGTGGCACTGTGTTATCCTCAAAACGGGCGAAGCTTGGCACTGTGCATGGTGATTTTAGGCTTGTGTGCGGCTGCTCGGCCATGGAAACCCATTTCATGAAGATCCCGATGAATATGTATTGTGCTGGAGTTGCTTCCAGAGGCAGTTTGGAACTC